ATATTAACCATGGCATATGTTGTATATATTTTATAAACTCTGCCAGAGTTAGAATTTTCTGACTTAAAAAGGAATATATTTCTTGAAGAGTTACATAGGCTTCTTTCCCCCTTCCCTCCTTTCCTTATTTCTTTCTTTCCTTCTCTGTTCCTTTCTTCCTTCCTCTCTCCCTTCTCTCTTTCTCTTTCTTTCCTTCTTTCTTTTCCTTTCTTCTTCCTCCCTCCCCCCCTTCCTTCCTTGATTAGGACATATTCTACACAAAGAATGCCTTTAAAATAGCATTCTTTTTAATTAGAATCTGCCCCCTTGGACATGCTTTCTTCACAAACACATGAGCTTCTAGAAGGGGATGGTCCTTTAAACAAACATGCAATGAAGATCCGTTCGGTACTAAATTAGATAAGGCATCAGAGGGAGGAGTCCGAGGTGATACCAAGTGAACAAGCCAAGGGTTCTACTTTCTAGAGATGTAGAGTCTAGAGCAGGATTATGAAAATGGCATGCACAATCCCCCTGAAACTGTACAGGTAATCCCTGAATTTTACACAGGTGGAGTTTTCCTTCGATTTTCAAAAGAGCCTATACCACAAAAATGTTCAGAACCCTAACTACATTTTTCTTTGTCCCTCTGAATACTCTCAAACTTTTCCTCATCTCTTTTTTTGGTTTAATATTTTAAAACCTATCTATTTATTTTGAGAGAGAGAGAGAAAACGAGAGTGCGAGCATGTATGAGCGGGGCAGGGGAAGAGAGAGGCAGAGAGAGCATGCCAAGCAGGCTCCACACTGTCAGCACCGTGCCCCATGCAGGGCTCGATCTCAAGGACCATGAGATCATGACCTGAGCCGAAATCTAGAGTCGGGCGCTTAACCGACTGAGCCACCCAGGTGCCCCTCCCTCATTTCTTTAACCAAAATTGTTCACCACCTGATTTCTCTGCATCTTGCCCCAAGCAATCAGGAAACAAAGAAGCAACCTGCTGCTTGACGTCTAATCATCTTTATCTCCCCAAGACACCAAATTCCATAGAACAACCTCTTTGTTCCTCAGGAGAATACCACACTTTCCTTTCTCTCTGCCAAACAGCAATTTGTAGAATGTTGCAGTTGGAAGAGATTTCCTGTATCATATTATGTACATACTTTATCTGCTGCATTAAAAAGCAAAGCAAAACCAAATGTTTCAGAAAACACTTAGTCATACGCTGGAGGGCACACGCAGCTGGGGCTGTAAATGACAGCTTTTTTTTAATATGTACTTGCACTTAGGTTTTAAGAGAAGATCCCGATGTCAAATGAAGGCAGAAGGAAGTAACTGATCTAATTTAGTAAGGCTTTATTAGACATTTCTAAGGATTTTATAAATGGTCGACATGCGGCCTTACTGCCTTTATCACTAAATATGTTGCTAGACTTGTAACACTTGTCTTGGTGTTTGAAATGGCAGGTAGAGTAACCTTCCCCAGCGGCACACATAGCCACGAAGAAGAATCCAGCGAGCTCAAAACTAGAGGCTATCGTGGTTTTATCCCCCTTCGTTCTGTTTCAACACGTGGCGATTCATCCCGCTTTCCTCCGTAAGAAACAAAATGCTTGCTCCTACCTGATCTGTGTCTCATGCTGTCATTTTTGATGTGTCGAAAGAGGGGTGTGTTTTGTGTTTATGAAGATTTGGGCCAGACTGGTATTAAAACAAAAAAAGGCGATAACAAGTGTGGGCGAGGATGTGGTGAAAAGGGAAACCTCACGCACCGTTGGTGGGAATGCAACTTGGTGCAGCCACTGTGCAAAACAGTACGGACAGTCCTCAAAAAACTAATACGAGGAAGGCCATGTGATGCAGCAATTCCACTAGTGGGCATTTACACACACACACAATGAAACCATGAATTCTAAAAGACGCACGCAAGTCTATGTTGATCGCGGTAGTATTATTTATCATAGCCAAGATATGGGAGCAACCCGTGTCCACTGACAGATGAATGGATAAAGAAATTGTGGTATATATATGATGGGCTAGTAGCCATTAAAAAGAATGAGACCTTGCCCTTTGTGACAGCACGCATGGGCAAGAGGGTCTTATCCTAAGTGAAATAAGTAAAAATGAAAAAGACAAACACTATCTGACTTCACTTTTATGCGGGATGTAACCAAACCAAACAAAACAAACAAGCAGAGACAGGCTCATAAATACAGAGACTGAACTGGTGATTGCCAGAGAGGAGGTTGGCGGGGTGGAGGGTGGTCATGGGCATGAGAATTACAGCACAAGGAATAGTCAATAATACTGTAATAATATTGTATTATTACAATAATAATAATAATAAGTGGCAGGTAAATAAATAAATAAATAAATAAGTGGCAGATGAGGTCACTGAGTAACATACAGAATTGTCGAATCACTATGTTGTGCTTCTGAAACGAATACACCCTTGCATGTCAACTACACTTCAATAATAAAAATTAAAAAAAAATGACTTGGGCCAGGTGTTCAGCCCAGGGACCCCACAATCTGCCAGGAAACAGTCTTTACACCTGCGCTCTGTGGGGCTTAGAGCGTCCTGGTAGAATCTGGAGTCCCTGTCGCATTCTGGGCTGCAAATAGGGACAGCAGACAGTAAAGCAGTTCAATGGGACAGAGTTCGTCAAAGCAGTGAGAATCTTCCAAAGGCAAACAAATAACTGTTGATAAGAATTTAATGAAAGGCCATTTCTGAAGGACAGCAGGGAATAGGAAGGAGATGCGATAACTGAAAAGAAGCTCGTGAAATTGGATACGAGGCTTTAACAGGGCGGCGGCGGCGGGGGGTGGGGGGCATTATGAAGGGGACTATGTCAGGAAACGGAAAATTTAGAGGTCAAAGGATTCTTGCAGCAATACCAGCGGATTACATTTTGTTGGCTTTTTTAAAAAAATTTTTTTTAACGTTTTATTTATTTTTGAGACAGGGAGAGACAGAGCATGAACAGGGGAGGGTCAGAGAGAGAGAGGGAGACACAGAATCTGAAACAGGCTCCAGGCTCTGAGCTGTCAGCACAGAGCCCGCTGCGGGGCTCGAACTCGCGGACCGCGAGATCGTGACCTGGCTGAAGTCGGCCGCTTAACCGACTGAGCCACCCAGGCGCCCCGATTTTGTTGGCTCTTTTAGGGTACAATTTTGCTGATGCGAGGGAGGCTCAGACTTTTTCCCCTGTCCACTGCATTCAAACCTGTCTATACTCGACTGGCGTCCAAGTCGTGCTGATATGTCCTGGAAATCACTTAAATTCATCCCAATACCACAAGAACATTCTCAGGTCTGTGATCCAATGTTCTTACGCAGCTAAAATAAAAGGCAGGTTTTGTTTTGTTTTTTTTTTAAATAGAAAGTTTTACTTGCTTAAGGCTTAAGTCCAAAAGCAATTCCATAAAAAATCTCAAGAAGCTTAATATACCAGGTGGCATTCTCTGGTAAGCAAAGAACATTACGGTAGAACTGTGTTTCTAGAATTAGTGGTTGAACATTAGTTGGAAACGGAAGTTATCCAAGGCCCATTAGCTTTCCCAGGGGACAAGGCCTTGTGGGAGGGACTGGGGAGGAGCCCATGGATGAGTCAGAGGTGGTCCCACGCTCCAGATGGCCTCACGGAAATACAGGTATTCGACCAACTGTGCTAGAAGCAGGGAGTGGTACTTGCTTGTCCAGGAAAGGGTGTCAGGAGGCCGGGGTCGCTCAAACCATTGCAGATTCCTAAAAGAGGCCTGTTTTCAGGTCATGCCTGTGGCTGGTTCCCAGGAGCTAAGCTCTGAGCCTTCCACTCCTGGAGGCTCCCTTCTGTACCTCAGACAAGGGCCCTTCAAATGCCCATTCTTTGCCTCATGAGTGATGAGAACTGCTGGTACCCCTCCCCAAGAAGCCCCTCCTGAGGTCAGGCTGAGCCCAGGACACAACGGGCTGTCCCCTACTGTCCCATCACACCATGTCTGCTGGGTGGGCTCGTCCATCCCACCCTCCACACCTGGCCCCTTTCTCGCTTATTCTCACTATAAAAGACAACCCCTTTTTGCTTCACGTTGAGACACCCGGCAGGTCTCACGGCTGGAACACTCTCACTGTTACCATAACCGCTGTCCCCCTGGGGTTGCAACAACCCCGCTCTCCTTCTTACTGTAATCCTTGCAAATAAAATCTCTCCTTGGCCACCACCCAGGGTTGGTTTTTATCCGACATTACCCTCTGGCTGACTGGCCAATTCTTTATGTGAGCACGCTTATGCCTTCTTATTATGATATAAAGTGCTCGGAAGTCTCCGGGCCTTATTTGCCCCAATCCTAATCATGTGTTTCCTGAATGCAAAGGGCACCGATCCATTTACCTCTAAGCCTGATAAGTTTACCTCTAGTTTGCTGGAGTCTAGGTCAGTTTACCCCCACGCCTTGTTTGTCCTGGGCTTCTTTCTGCTATCTGTCAGGCTTCCTGGAAAGGCCGCAGCCCCTGGACCTTGGGAAAGTGGGAGGGGGTGCCTGGTGTTCGAGTTCCTGCTGGGATTCCCTGGACTAGAGGTACAGGCTCCCCTTCCTCCACCCTGACACCTCCTAGAGCCTCAGACTCCACCCCTTCAGTACACTGTTTATATCGCTGGCTCCCAACTAGTGGTGATGTCACCACCCAGGGGACACTGGGCAATGTTGGGAGACATCTTTGTTCGTCATGACGGGAAGAAGTGTCCACTGGCATCTAGTGGCTATCGGCCAGGCATCCTATACCGCGTAGCACAGCCCCCTGCAACAAAGAAGTATTCAGCCCCGAATGTCAATAGTGCGAAGGTGGAGAAATGCTGATTTATGTGATAATCGCTGACGCTAACAAATTTAGTCAAAGGACATTTTCTCATTCAAAAGTTGAAAATGGAACAGGAAAGCTTGTCCAAAGGACAATCTACCTTCATCCAATCACACTGGGGCCATCTTTTTCTAGGAGGCACCGAACGATTTTTGGACCAAAAAAAATGGTCAACCATTCGGCAACAAAAATTTATTGATTCGTTTGCAACATTAGGTACAACATGTATAACTTTATCACATGGTAACGATCCCGTATTTGTGCTTTGTAGGATAAGTAAACATTCATTCCGGCACAAAAAAGTCTACGCACAATATTCTGGGATGGTTTAAAAAATAAATCTATCCTTTTCCGTTCAGTAGCACAAAGAGCTTTCAGTCTGAGATAATGGATACATTTTACAATTTGACATTTTGTTAATGTGACGAGTTGAACACATATCTTAAATCGGGACTATTGATGTAACAAGTGCCTAATGAATTCTGGGGAGGATTCCGTGATGTGTGAAGAGGGAGGTACGGCTCCCATGGAGGCTTTCTTGACATTTCAAGCTGTGGATGACATATAAGTCCAGCGCTGACGGCCTGGGGCCTTGTTCACATTTAAAATCACTTCACAAATTTTCAAAATAGAGTAAAAGCAAGATATTTAAGGAAATCTTTGATAAACACCTTCTCTGGTCAAGAAAATAAAAGCCGGTGTACCTCAGTCAGTTGAAGGGGAAGAGGATTTATTAAGGAGAAGTTAGATATGTCGGTTTTTCAAAAGAGTAAAGCTCTGTTTCTGAAAAACTTCAATGGGATAAGGTTTTCTTTTTTCCAAATTAAATGCCAATGTGTTTGAGTCAGGAAGAGTCTACGGTCCTAACGGGTTAGGTCAAATCCTGCGCCCGTCACCATATCATCCTGGGAGCAGGTCGGCCATACCAGTATCAATGCATTTATGATGAAACCACTGAGCTCAAGTGTCAAGATACAACTTAAGACGACAATCCTCTCATGTTGTATGAACCTCTAAGCTAACTCATATATTATTTAAGGTAATCATCTCTTCATAATTTACAATAAAAATAAAAGGAATGCTTATATTTTATATAATTGAATACACAAGGAGATTTTATCTCAAAAGATTTTTTTTTTTTTTTGATAGTAAAGTTTTCCCTTATGGTAAGAATTCTGTGATCATGTTACCCAAGTAATATAGAGACGGAAACGAGACAATTTTCAGTCTTTCTGTCTCTCAACTGAACACCAATAGTTTTCTGGTTAGTTGAGAATGCAGACACTATTGGGGGGATAGGAGATACTTACCAGTGAGCTGCTATGAATCAATGAAATCACCTGGGCAGAGGACATCGCTAGGACTCCTGCATTTCTCTTAATATCCACTGATAATGGTCTGAAAGTGAAGATCTTTTATATCAAAATTCTGGAAATTTCTCACCCATATCTTAAGTGTTTACCTGGGCTGAGAGCCCCTTAATCAGCTCAAAAAAAGTAAAATAAAAGTTACATCATAGTTTACAAAATTATTTTGACTAGTGACTTTGTTTCCAGTTGATTCACATAATTGGAGACATTACATGTCATTTTATATCATTAAAAATACTTAAGTACAGCTTTCCTGGAGTTTGGGCCGAGTTAAAAGCTTTTCGTTTGGGGTCCATTAAAATTTCTGCTTTTCCAGTGGTTCTAATACAAGCTTTTTTTGGCCTCGCTCACAGGTTGCCTTGATTTGTACCGATCTGTGTTTTGCTTTTCCTCAGATTTATTCGATCTGCAGCAGACTTGAACAGCAGATTTTGTATAGCTCTGCTAATGTGATGGGATGTTTTGAGGAGGTTTAGAGCATTTCGAGCAAACCACTGTAATCTAAGCTGGGAAAAAGGGAAGGAATATTCTAAGGGCATTGCTGCCCTATCCCAGTCCCAAGAGCCAGTCAAAGAGACTCGGGGTCCCCTCCTTCTGCTCTTCATGCATTTTGCAGTACTGAACAACCGCGTGAAAGATGTCTCCCACTTTCCAAGACTTCTGCTGAACCAGCCGCACGACATCTAGAAACTAAAATAAAGCACAGAATTAGGACTCATGTATCACAGATGAGCCTCAAAGTTATCTCATTCAACCCTTTTTCCAAAGCCAACAGCTCTCCGGGCTATTTTTTTTAATCTCTTGTGACAAGGGACTATTTTTTCAGGACAATCTATTTTCTTTTTAGACAATTCTGATTGTTAGAGAGTTTTTTCAAGTGAACTGGATTTTTCTTCTTCACAGCAGCTGCCTTCCATTGATTGTGGGAAAATAAATGGGATTCTTCTTTCAAGAGTCTATCTTTTGGATATTTCAAGAGTTTCCCCAGGTCTGAGCTGGACTCTCTGTGACAGGACTGTATAGCATAGCTCCCAGGACCTTCTATCTGTCTTACAAATAATCTTTCATTGGATGCATACATTTAGGCCAAGTAAATCAAGTGCTGACCTTTTGGGTACAGTCACTCATTGGCTCCCCACTCTGTCTTGAATAGTCCTCTCCCCCAGCATCACATTTCAAGAGACATTGGTTTTCCATCGTAAAAGGAAAAGGAAAGATTGGGGCATCAGAGAAAAGGGGAGAAAGGCTAGGATGTCTTTGCACGACTTGATTAATCAGACTTTTCCAGCGCTTACTTTCCCAGCTCTTACTGGAAGTCTAGAAAGTAGGAGTTACCAGTAGAGAAGGCTTGAACATCAAGTTTCTGAGATCTCACTGAGAGAGGCTCATAGGTTGGTGACTTCTTTTCAAGATTTCCATCAAGGGGTCACCAATGGCCTTAGGCTAGACCCATCCCTTGAGGGTGTCGCCTCTCCCTTAACATGTCTTATAAAGATGCAGCCAACATGAAATACACAGAAATATAAAATTAGCCTCAGTTCCTTCTTTTGCTTCCTGTAGACTCTGGCTCACTGGGCTACCATTTCATTCCCAACTTTTATCTCAGAGTCATTGCTCTAAGAGACAAAGCTCTGGAGCAGATGCCAATATTTGCCAAGCCCTTCCCAGGAGGCTGTTGGCCCCAGACCTTTCTGGAAGCCCAATTACTAGATTCTTTCCATCTATTAAGGACTTGCTGAAGTAGGATCTGCCACTGTGGTGATGAGCACAGGATGATGCTGACCGATGCCCCACCGGCTAGCCACTCTGCCAGTAGTTTGTGGAATAGTCACAGGCTAGAATCTGTTTCATGGTTTCTAAATACAATCTGATATCTCAATAAATCAGCTTTAAAAATGGTCTGGCACGACTAAATATAGACTATACTTGAGGCTCTGATGACTTAACCTCAGACATCAAGACCTTGAAACATCTGTGGGGCTGATGGACAAGAAGGTCTATACTCTTTTCTTCCTTCACTAAAAGGAATTTCTAAATAAAAATGCAGCTAAGATTGTGAAGAGGCCAGAAAAGGACATTCCCAGTTTGTTGCTATAGCCTTTTAAAACCACGTGCAGGGGGCGCCTGGGTGGCTCAGTCGGTTGGGCGTCTGACTTCAGCTCAGGTCCGTGAGTTCGAGCCCCGCATCAGGCTCTGTGCTGACAGCTCGGAGCCTGGAGCCTGCTTCGGATTCTGTGTCTCCCTCTCTCTCTGCCCCTCCCCGGCTCGCACTCTGTCTCTCTCAAAAATAAATAAACACTAAGCACATTCAGGTTAGCAGTTGGCCCTAGATCTTTCATTGTTTCTGTCCATGTTATTGCTTTGGTAATTTTAGAATCAGCTTTAGGGTGTCCTGGAGCTGAGTTTTTCATTCCAATGCAGTGAAAAACAAAAATCAAACATTTTCACCTCCTGCCACTTCACAGTCCATAACAATCAGGTTCCCTTCCTACATATCACAGTGGGCATTTCCTTGAGCAAATATTTTGTCTTAGGAAACTAAAATGGCTTATATCCTGTGATGGTGTCATTGACAGACTCACTTGAAGAGGGGTATTACGTAGAGGGCTTTTATATTCTCAGGTGCATTTGCTAAATTAGATCAATGGTTTACAAAATTATATGGTAGATGGGGCGCCTGGGTGGCGCAGTCGGTTGAGCGTCCGACTTCAGCCAGGTCACGATCTCGCGGTCCGGGAGTTCAAGCCCCGCGTCGGGCTCTGGGCTGATGGCTCGGAGCCTGGAGCCTGTTTCCGATTCTGTGTCTCCCTCTCTCTCTGCCCCTCCCCCGTTCATTCTCTGTCTCTCTCTGTCGCAAAAATAAATAAACGTTGAAAAAAAATTTTTTTAAAAATAAAAAAAACAAAACCAAAATTATATGGTAGAGTCTATGGGAGTTGTTGCGAACTGTGAGATTTAAAAACAAACAGTCAACTTAGATTTCTGAAAGCAACTACCTTCTCTTGCTCCAAGGCAGAATTCCATTTCATGAAGTACAAGTGAGTTCGTTTCTATAACCACTCCTGCAATTACGGCCTGTAGATTCGTGATTATCAGCCTTGTCTGTGGCCTGGAACCACCAGGGACCTTTAGGAAATTCCAATGTCTGAGCTTCATCCCAAGAGGAGATTCTGATTTAATTGGCCAGAGCAACTGGGTCTATAAATCTCCCCAGGTAATTCCAGTGCACACTAAGTTAGAGAACCATGACGAAAGTATTCAGTTCAAGCCGATTTCTTATGTTTATAAGTGAAGAAACTTAGTATCTATTATGCATTAATGTTGGCATTCTCTGCCAAATTCATATATTGAAGTCCCAAACCCAAAAGTGATGGTATTGGGAGGCAGGGCCTTTGGGTGACAATGAAGTGTAGATGAGGTCATGAGGACAGGACTCCTATGGTAAGACTTATTCTCCTCTAAGAAAGGGAAAAGAGACACCAGAGCTCATTCTCTACCATATGAGAACATAGGAAGGGAGAGGGCTGTCACCAGGAATGGAATCTGCTGGTACCTTGATGTTGCAATTCCCAGCCTCCAGAGCTGTGAGCAGTACATGTTTGGTTTAAGCCACTCAGTCTATGGCATTTTGTTCAGGTAGTCTGAGCTGACTAAAACAGTAAAATCTTCCCTATTTTTCCTTCCTTTTTCTCTCTTACTGCCGTTCTACCAGTTTGCAAGTAGAATGGAATGACCTAGAGGTAAGGTCACTTCTCTTATGACCCTCACTTTCTTAGGAAGGCATGCATATACCTTTTTCCTCTGTTTGTTTGTTTGGTTGGTTTTTTTGCATCACCTCCAAGAAAAAGAAGTAATCCTCAAATGCATAAAAATGGGAAAGGCACTGATTTACAGTGAGGCCAGGCATCAGGCCACTCTAGCTCACAGGAGCTCGTTGGATTTAGAAAAGGAGCTAGAGAGCAATGATATTTTGGATCCAGAAGGAAAAATAATTGGCCAGTTTATGTCATTTGTTAAAAAAAAAACAATTGCTGTCATGATTTTTTTTTACATCTTAAATTAAGTAGATTACATTTAACTGATGTCAGTCATTGCGAATTACATTTACAAAGTGTTTTAGACCTTTAGGCATTAGGATTCTCAGCAAATTTGCCCTGGAATTTAAGATAGTTAAAGTCCAACTCAAATTCTGTCACTCTTTCGGGCTATTTCTTATGGGAGGGGGTCTTGAACTTTGATACTCATCAAAATGGCTTCACTTGAGGGAAGTTGTTAAAAATGTATACTTCTGGGCCCCATGGAAAGCGATCAGGGCTAAGAAACGACCTAAGAAGATGAATTGTAAGCAAGTGTCCCAGATAGTTCTGTGCACTTGGCTCATAGATTTCTCTTTATAATCTGAGTCTCCCCTGGATGACACTCACCCTACTCTGGGTCCCTCCTGAACTAGAATGGAAATTCCATGAGGGTAGGGAATTTTGTGTCCTTTGTTCCTCATATTCCCAGAGCCAAGAACAGTGCCTGGTATGTTGTACATGCTCAATGAACCGTTGATGAATGTTCCGAGCGCACAACTTTCAAGTGAACATGGCATTTTAATGAGTAGGGAAAATGCCACGAAAGAGAAAGCTTGAAATGAAAGTGTCACTTTTCAGAAAGGAGTGACACTACACTGGTCACCAAAAATGTTTGGCATTTGCCTTTTGAGTTGAAACGAGGCTGAAATTCATTATAAGCTGACTTTAAGTGCCCCTTGATTCCAAGGTCAATGGTGGGAAACATGAGCTGCTTCGGTATTCACTCATGATATCGTCTCCCCTTTAGTTTATGCCCTTTAGCTTCAGGCTGGGGCACTGAGTGGGAAACACACAAGTGGGAAAATTGTTAACTAAATTCATTTTTTTTTTTTTTAAATCAGAATTCACACAAATGGTGGCTTGAAGGGTAGAACTGTGAATGATATCTAACACTCTAGCGATGGTGGGAAAAATGACATTTCTGAACTTAACAGAGATGTTTCTTTAACCCTTTCCAAGCTGAGGAGGAGCAGTGCTACCCTTGTGTGACACGGCCCCATGGGAGGCCACAATCTCTCTTCTGCACTACTGGAAACTAGCTACTTCACCAGTGAAAAAAACAGTCAGAATCAGCACTTGAGTGTTCAAGTGCAGCACTGATAAAAGCAAGGATATAAAAATTTTGTGTAAGGGTTTGCTTTATTTAACCAGTTTGGTCTCAAACAACAAACAGTGCCCATTTATGGAGAAGCCACTCTGCAGAGAACCTTAACTGACTCTGAAAGAAATGAGAATATTTAGTTCCTAAAATTACAATCCTGAGAAATAAGCTCCTTGATCTGATGCTAAATTGCATGGGTAAAACATTACTTAATGTTTTTCTTGATAACACTCGTGGAGTGTTTATTTTCTCAGAAAAATAGCTATGACCAAAGACAGGCATCCCCTCTGAGAATTGAAAATTGGTGAGGATAAAGAAATGTCAAGTCAGGGCCTGATTTACATAATCAAGTTACTAATCAAGTTAGTGATACACCCCTTGTCCTTTCACCTAATGGGGATTTATGAGGCACGTATTCACATAGAGTCCTGTGTTATTTCTTCAAAATGGGGGATTGGATAAAAAGCTACTTTCTTAGGAGGCCATCTGAAAATGGACCTAGCAATGCTCTGGAGATGAAGTTGGGAACCAGCCAGTCCTTCATTTTTCCAGGAATTTGAGGACGTCATTTGCCTGAGGAAGTTCTTGTTCCCCTCCCCATGGTAGGGAGTCTTTGGGATGGTGAACAGAAAGAGGGAGGGGTCCAATGAGGGGGGTTCTTTTGCCCCACTCTTTGCACCGTGCAGGCTAAAAGGTAAGATGGAAGGAGACCCTATTAAGTAGTGAACTACTCATCACCTTGCCAACAGAGGTATGACAAAATTCAGACGGCACAGAATGGTCGGAAGTCCTGGACATGAAGAAAAATATAAATTACCGGCTGGAGAGAGAGGCTGATGTGGGAGGGGCCAGTATAAATTAGGTCTCTGCAGTTTTTCCAGTGGCCAATCCCATTGGCTGGTGATACAGAAATGGGGAAGGTGTTCTAATTTCCATGTACATGGGCAAGATGATCAAGGATCTTTCATTTCAAGCTGCTAGATTCTGACAGTGAGAATTAAAATGCAATTACACATTAAAGAGAAAATCCAGATTGTAACTCCAAGAGCATTTAGCTTGAGAGAGACACACTATTGAGAGGTTTCCAGGACTAGGCTGAGCCGCCTTTACCATCCTTTCTCATGGGCCAGCCTCTCTGAATCCTGACTTGTCCATTAAAAAGCGACAGTAATAGCCATTTGGCTCTTCTCCCAGGGTTGTTGAGAAACAAGCTTAATGAATACGTGGAGGTACTTTGGGACAATAAGACATTCAAAAATGCACTGTGGCAGTGATAAGCAGGATCGTAAAACGGCTCCCAAGATTTCTGCCCTAATCCTCAGTACGCGTAGGATGAGATAATTACGCCCTTATTATGTTATTGTACATGGCAAAAGAGATTCTTTAGTTGATTTTGAGTTAATCAAAAGGGAGACTATCGGGTGAACCTAACCTACTTGCACAAGCCCTTTCAAAGCAGAGTTTTCTCTGGTGGCAGAAGTAAGGGACTGACTGTATGAGAACACGAAGGGGTCCACATGACAAGGAATGCCACAGCTTCTAGAGGTGGTCCCGCAAAGAAACAGGGTGTCAGTCCCACGGCCACGAGGACCTGAATTAGGACAACAACCTGAAAACCCTTGGAAGCTTGTTTTTCCCCACAGTGTTCAGGCAAGCGTTCAATCAGGCTGCCATCTTGCTTTCTGCCTTGCAAGTCCCTAAGCACAGAGCCGAGTAGAATTTACCCAAACTTCCGGCAACAGGGCTGGGAATCATTGTTCTAAGCTGGTAAATTTGTGGCAGTTGATGACACAGCACTAGAAAACGAATAGAGCAACATTATTATTAATGTGAACATTTGCAGAAGGGGCGTACTTTTAAACTGCGGGCAAATCGAGCTTGAAGACATTGGCAGATGAATTTGTGCGTCAATCTTAATCATTGAGATTCTACCACGGTTAGTGGGCAGTCTCAAAGATAGGGAGTTAGAGTGACAGTTGCTATTAATGTTGAGGTTGGCAAAGGGTCTATTCCCTGACTTTATACTGCTGGTAGGTGGAGAATGATCACGAGAAAGCCTGTCTAATGCAAACCTGTTCAGTAGGGACTTAAACATGCTTCTTCTTGACATCATGCCACAGTCTGTTTTAAATATCAATGTGGCCTCACTTTAGTTTCTTATATATTTCAGGTCTTTCCCTTGTACCCTTTATTTAAATGAGTGTTATGAGGAGGTTGGTTCCAGAGCAAGGAACCATCAAAACAGAGCAAACAAACGAAGGAACAATCAAAAAGCTAGAGTCTGGAAGAGTTCCCAGCTCCTCAATTCACTTTCTCACTGCCACCAACGAGCCGAGACAAACTGAGGGTCAAAGAAACAGTTATTGTGATTTTAAGCAGGTGGAAGCTTTCAAAGTTCTAGCCACAATTTTAAGGTGAAAAGTCAAGAGCAAATCATTCAAAATTTAAGTGAGTTGACTGGGAAGTTACTGAGTTTCCAGCAGTGACAAAACCACGAAGCTTTTTTCACATCCAAACACACGACATGGTACCTTTTCGATTCTGTTTTCCTGAGATTTCTTAAAGTAGATGGTGGGGATCCCAAGTTCAGAGGCTGCTATCCACTGCAGAGTGGCTCGAAGCTCAGCGTCAGGGCACTCTGGTTCCAGGTCAAAGTTGATCACCAGCAGGCTCCCCTGGGGACTGGCCGCTCCCACCTGCACTCCAGAGGCGCCTTCTGAACACAGACAAAACCTCAGTCTTATGATGCTTTCCACGGGGAGATCACAGGCAAATTGTGTGTCAAAATTATGGGAATGTGGCTTACCCTCTACGTTTTCTGACTGTCCTTTAAGAGTCTCCTTTTCTTCTACTAATTCACTTTGGGAGAAAACAACAGTATATGGTTGGTAATGTTTAGAAAGGGTAAGCTGCAAAATGGATGATGAGGCAATGGGTCGTATCGATCTACAAGCTTCTGAAATTCGTTCTAGATCCATTGTTTTCGTAGAGTGGAGTAATACTGGGGAAATATCAATGTGGCTCTTATGTAGGATTATTGGGTCTGCAATCAATACCCTGGCCCTAAAAAAGAGGCCAGATTAAATGCGTAGTTTTAGTGGGGATAATTGGTGGGGGAGACCGGAAGAAATGCATCCATCTATTCTCCTCAACTTCCCTTCCACAAACCTTCACCAGTTTGGACAGTCAGGGAAATATCTTGTAGGCCACTCGATCTGATTTGGGGATGTATCCTTCTTCTGTATTTGACTTTAAAGGTCCCTATTATTTAAAGTCCCTGTTTAAATAAAGGTCCCTGTTATTTAAAGGTCCCTATATTTCCATCCTGATACGATGATTTTTTTCCTAAACTATGGTAGCAACAAATCTGCATTTTAGTCTGAAATAAGGGATAAAACAACCAATGGGCAGCAAAATTGAGTTGTACAATGAAATATCTTAATTAAAATTGAAAATTTTCTTTTTCTTTCTAGCAGAAGGATGAAGGAGGCTGGAGGTGATAAAGAACTAGAGATAAAACCAAAGTATTTCATTAAAGTCATGGTCAATGTTTGAGGTGTTTTCATACAGCAAGTACTTGTTAGGAAGCCTTGATATAATGGTAGGATTCAGTAAGTGCTTCCAAAAGGAGAGCATATAGCTCAACAGTTGAAAGGAGGTGGCCATCTTGCAAAGACTGTGGTTGTCTTATATTTTTGTACAGTCTAGCAATTAGACTATAGCAGCTCCTAAAAATGTGTGTTTTTATGAGAGAGTATTCTCCCTTATATTTTCTATTCCTGCTAAGATTTGCTGGCTATAAATTCCACTGTATTCCTGATGTTGAGAGAGAGTTTGGTTGTTCTGCCATGCTTACAGAATTACTTCTAGAAGCACGGCCAATTTCCCAAGGGTCTAGATTCTCTTCTACGTCTCTGCAAGTGATCTAAGTGAAATGGCGTATGGTAAGACAGTTTCTGCTATCGTGGAGCGGCCAGACACGGATATGGGTGGTGGTTATTTTGGTTTTCCCTGAGTGCATATAATCTGTGGGGTCCTAGGCTCAAACCCTAGGGAAAGGTGGAAAAGGGTAGCTAAACAAATGCTTCTTGAAAGAGAAAAAATAAATTTAACCCAAAGTGATTTTTTGTTTGTTTGTTTTTATTTGGGTCCTACCTTAAAAAAACAAAGCAAACCCAAACTAATGTGTGTGTTCATCTCTACTTGTGACTAATGGCTCTATGAAACAAAGGGTGCATGGCGACTGTCAATCGCTGAAGCATACTCCCACAGGCCAGACACCTGATTACATAGTGAAGCAAAAATGATTTAGCTAGAGAGAGCAACTGAGAAAGGAGATCAGGGAGCACTGTTAGTCTTGTAGTTCATTTTTATTTTTCTCAGATTTCAGAAAACTCCAAATAGTAAGCTAAGTCATAATGGTCAAAAATAGATTTCAATTCATTTACTTTTCCAGAATAATCACAAATTCTGGATGCAGTCCTGACCTCGCATTGTCCTCCTTTTTGGCACTGTAATTTACGTTACACATGTGCTTCTCTAAGTGCTATTTTCCCTTGGTCTTTTAGACCTTTTAGAAGGGTCCCAAGGTCGTGGGGAGCAGAGTCACTGCACGGCAATGACCTGTCTCCATTGTAGCACCTCTTGGTATTAGACCCATTTAGTAGTGATTATCCCAGGTTTCTACGAAGTAAAGGAAAAGCCGTTCATATTACATTCTATTGAACAATAGTCTCTGTTGGTTGGCATGGTATGATCTAAAAGGATTTCTGCTTCTCTCTGTCCAATTAAGTAAAATGACATCTCTTTCTGATTGTACGGATAAGCTTTTTGTGAAATGATTTTATCAGAGGGGGCAGATTTGAAATCCAGAAGACAGTGGTAGGGCAGGGTAAGATCCGTGGTGGCCCTACCAGTGGTGGTAGGGTAGGACTATTCTAGGCCCTAGTTCTTGCTCCAGTGACATGGAACCACAGCAGCGTGGACATGATGATTCAGTGGTTGGGCACGATCTCAATGACCAAAATGGATTGCCAGATGGAGTTAGGGTAGCGGTCTCACAATCACTGCATCTTGGTGGCTACTTACTTAATCATGGGAGAAGATGGCATGCTTTCCTGATAAATGTCCAGGTCCACAGTGCCAAGACTGTTAGTGGCACTACTGTTGCCATTGCTGACAAAGCAAAAGTTTACATATTAATGCCTGTCTCCACCACCTGGCCACACCGCCGACACTGACGTTCCGCCATTTTTTTTCTAAGAGGTCCTTCTTTGGTCCCCGGGAGAATATTGTTGGGGGACCCCTACATTAAGATTTTTTTCTGGACAGATTAGGGGGAAACGGCACAAAAGACGTTTTTGGCCCAAGCCAATCATCATCATCATCATCATCGTCATTTTCGAATTTCTGTAGTGGTGTCATGCCTGATGGGCTACACCTAGTGGGTGACAATCTCCAGACTTTTATTTTCCTCATTCTAGGTATAGTGAGGATGTTTATCTGGCAGCAAGAGACTCCTCGGTGTTCCCATGGAGACCAAGATACTTCTGAGAATGCTGGCTGGGGAAGGTACCAGAATGTTCATCTGCCTGCTTGTTGACTTCTGACAGAAACCAGGGGACACGCGTTCTCCCTTTGCCTGTCACGGGATTTTTCTGAGGGGCGTTCCACAGAATATGCGCCTGGATCATTGTTTAACTATGGCACTGCAGAACTTACAAATGTGAAATTGGGCAATGCCAAAGTTTAATCAGCTCCTTTGTTGTAAAATCGTTGGGAAGCAATACCTGATACCTTATGTATCGAGGAGTAGGAGGGCTGATGTATCATTTTCATGGGTTACACAATCAACATATGGTCTAGTTACTAGCTTGGAATTTATTTGCTGAAACACAGTTGACTTGAGCCAATTTTTTTTAGGCTGTGTCTATACTTGCAAAATGGAATGCATCCAATTTTAGCAAGCTCACCGAGTTTCCTCATACTCCCACTATTTCCCAGTGACATCTCTTCCAAGTCAGGTTTTCAAAGGGTGAGTGCTGGTGTGTCATATAATGGGGCAGTCTTCCCTTGGGAGGACCGTGACTAACACACTAGACTCCTCCAGTTTCAAATTCCGGCTTTGGGTTTCATGTGGGGCATCAGATATATTCACTGATGGAAATCTGATGACTCAAACACGTCGCTCAAGGTAATTAACCCTGTAAACTTCTGCTAAGACCAGACGTTGAAATTCTCTTTCCTCTCTATCTCTATATTGTAATATTTCCCACCAGTTTGGGGGCATTTTAGACAAAGTGTGTGACAATGTTAAGATTTCCTGGGTCTAAGCAGACCGAACTTCCAGAAATAAGACCGCCAAGGAGCCATTACACCCAGATGCATCTGAGTCCCATTTGCCCGTTGGCCTTTCTGGAAAGTCTGTGGAACTGGGCCAGTATCAAATAAGACTTAGGGCAGAAATGTGGAGATTCTTTCCGTTTCTATCTCACGGAGGGATAGTGTTCGGTTTATGTCTCTTGATGGGCTTGGGTCTTTCCAAATCTGATCTTTCATTAACTCCTCTCTTGCTTACCCAGAACAACAATATAGAGGTCAGGGGAGAGAAAGGGAGAGAAACAATTAGGCCAAACAACACAACACAATGTGGAAACACCTGCCTCATGTAAACCCAGTCTGGGTTGCATCTGAGATACAAATGAACCAGAGAGAAAGTATCAAACACACCAGGTGTAACAGCAGCCCTTATTTAAAAATTCTCAGTCGTTATCATTGACTACACTAGCTGGGACTTGGCAGAGAGAGAAACACAGCTGACTCCTAACCTTGGCCAAGGTAATTAAAGGCAAAACTGGATATTAAGAAACCTCTTGGCCCAAAACATGACAGGCAGGCACCTTGATCTAGCGGGGAGCTTTCTCTCTTGCCCTGTTAGGGACCCTTTGCAGAGAACCACTTAGGAAGCATTTCCAGTATCTGTGTTGAGACCTGTTTCCCTGGGAAGTCAAGTCAAGAGCAGGTACCTCATGGATCGCTCGCTGAGCTGAAGAAAGCTACTGGTATCATGTGGATTGTCCTCCTCGTTGGTGAGCTGGGACCAACTGTCCGTGCTCTCCCGACTGCTGCTGGGAAGGTTGGGAAACTCATCGGGGGCTCTGCCTTCTGCGGACACCTCCGCCTCTGCTACATCAAGGCCGGCACTGTAGATGGCAAGGCATCATTACCAAGAGCGGAGGCACAAGACAGAGCTTTTCACGAAGACCTTGCTGACTGCTCAGCGGGCGCGAGTCTCTGCCACAGTGAGGAAGATACCGTTGCAGACAAGCGCAGTCTTTCTTTTAGGCTGACCCTTCTCCTAGCACTCTCCGTCCCATTTTGCCTTTTCGAGATTACTCCCTTCAGTTGTACCATCTCTTTATTTCATCTCCTTCTACTGACTCCCTCCAATCATTTCAAAAGCACGTCGAAACCCCCCGGGCTACCTACAGAAGAAATAAAGGAGGGACGGTAGCATCTAAAATGGAGATACCCAGAGCACCCTCTCCCAGAGATTATGATCCAATGGTTCTGCCAGGAGAGCAAGAAACCTGCATTTTAAACAACCACTGCAGGTGATTTTATTTTATTTTATTTTATTTTTTATTTTATTATTTTTTTTAAAGGTTTTTTTTTTTTTTTTTTTTTTTTGGGACAGAGAGAGACAGAGCATGAACGGGGGAGGGGCAGAGAGAGAGAGGGAGACACGGAATCGGAAACAGGCTCCAGGCTCTGAGCCATCAGCCCAGAGCCCGATGCGGGGCTCGAACCCACGGACCGCGAGATCGTGACCTGGCTGAAGCCGGACGCTTAACCGACTGCGCCACCCAGGCGCCCCACTGCAGGTGATTTTAATGCAAGTGGCAAGTGGAGCATGCTGGGAGAAAAACACCCACCCGGTTCTGGAGGTTTACCAAGTCGGTTTGTCTCTAAATGCCTCTGAACACATTTTGCATTTGTAGCTTACCTTTCTTTCCCCTCTTTTTTTTTTTTAAAGCTTTTATTATTTTTTTTAAATATGAAATTTATTGTCAGATGAGGAGGGCACCTGTTGGGATGAGCACTGGGTGTTGCGGCTTCCCTTTCTGTACCATCCTCTCCCTTTGAAGCCTCTAATGGGTATCAGTATTGCCTTTCTGGGTGCTTTTTTAGGTCAGGTAGCTCTCTAAAGCCTTTAACCCCTGATCCGACAGGCTTTTCTCCTCACAGCCTTTCCTCCCCGGCCTCCCATGACTTTCTGCCTCTCTGGTCACACCTTGCCCGGAGCCTGGTTCCCTGGGTTTCCTTTCAGTGCCACCATCACAGCCCTGATGGATTCACTGCCCTTCTTTCCAGTCTGTCCTGAACAATTTCCTCTACTCTCTCTCCTGCCTCTGAAAATAGCTTCTGAACTTGAACTCCGGCCAGGGCCCCTCTTCCTGCTTCTGGGGGCTCTTTTTTTTTTCAGCTGGTCTCCTGGAAACATCCAATCTGTCTCATTAATATTTTGAAATCAACATATCTAAAACAAATGCTAATTGCTCTCCTATCCCCTTCCCATGTGCTTCTATTTCCACTGATCTTGCCTTCTCTATGCTCATGAAATTATCTTAGTTTAGGTCGTTCTGAATTGTTAGAATTTAGATTTGGAAGGAACGTCATAGATTTGCTGTAGATTGGGATGCAAAAGCCCAGTGAGGTTAAATGACTTGGCCAAGGTTGCAAAAAGAATGGGTGCCACGGGCCCCTGGGTGGCGCAGTCGGTTAAGCGTCCGACTTCAGCCAGGTCACGATCTCGCGGTCCGTGAGTTTGAGCCCCGCGTCAGGCTCTGGGCTGATGGCTCAGAGCCTGGAGCCTGTTTCCGATTCTGTGTCTCCCTCTCTCTCTCTGCCCCTCCCCCATTCATGCTCTGTCTCTCTCTGTCCCAAAAATAAATAAAAAAAGTTGAAAAAAAAATTAAAAAAAAAAAAAAAAAGAATGGGTGCCAGACATTAGACCTCACGTTTTGAGACTCGTGGGCTTTGTTCCGTTCCTCCTCGTCCGGACTGTATCATACTAGCTTCCTAACAACTGAGCCCCAACCATTTCTCTCCACTTTCAACCATACGATCCAGCAATTCCCCGTTTAAGAATTTATCCCCCCAAACCGAAAACACTAATTTGAAAAGACCAATGCGCCCCTATGTTTATCGTAGCACTACTTACAATAGCCAAGATATGAAAACAACATAAATGTCCAGCAAGAGATGAATAAAGAATATGTAGTAAATATATACAATGGAATATTACTTGGTCATAAAAAGAACAAAATCTTGCCATTTGTGATAACATGGATGGAACTACATGGTATTATGTTGAGTGAAATAAGTCCGAGAAAGACAAATATTATATGACTTTACTTTTATGTGGAATCTAAAAACAAAACAATGCTGGAGAATCATGTAGTGAGGCTTGCAACACAGGAGGGAAACCTCGAAATTATGAAGCTTGGAGTTCATATAGGAATTGCTGTTGACACATTTGCCCCTCCTCTTCACCAGGGAGAGGTGAAACAGAAAGAGCGAGAGGGAGAGAGGGAGGGAGAAAGAGAAGGAGAGAGAGAGAGAGAGACAAAGACAGAGAGAGGGAGAGAGAGAGATCCCTTATAAACAAATCCAAACATTCTCTGCAGAGAGGACGAAATGGTCTCTACTTCACCACCCTGGATTGTAAACAAATAGCTCCAGAAATATAAATCTCTGCATCTCTCTAGAAGTCTCTGTCTTTAGGGCTACCATCCAATCGTTCTTTGATTGCCAGTGCTCTTTGCTCAGAAAGCCAAATATACAGGATTGTGAACATGCTCCTGGAACCCTTCTCCTGACACTACATAGAGAGTCGTCAAAACCTAATAGCACAGGAGACAAGGACACCAACAGACTGCAGGCAAAAAGCAAGAGTGTATCTCTCAGGTGATAAGGAAGAATATAGCTGGTGTCATGGATATGGAATGCTTTTCTAGGCCATTGCATGCTGACTGTAGACAATACTGGCTGTTGCCAGCACACTGGGAATTACCATGGGGCGGACAATTACCTTGCCAAGGTTGTACCCTCCCTCAGCGAACATCCAAACAACCAGCTGATACAATGACACAAAAGGCCTCTCGTTGTCTCCCCTGGCACCAAAGAGACGGATCCTTCCACCTGCGGCATTTCCCGCAGGACGTGCTGAAGCGTCCATTGCAAACACATTTGGGGGCATCTTCTCTCTGTACAATCTTACCTTTCCTACCTCCCTACAGATGTATGCACACCTATCTCTGGAGGGCACTCCCTAACAGATTATCTGCCCGAAACTCCCCCTCTTAAGGTCTGTTCCCAGGAGATGCAACCCAAGACACTTCGTCTCTTTCATTCAGAACAGTATCCTGGGCTGCAGAAAAGCCTAGGTAGTTCTCTTCAATCTCGGGATTCGTACCATTATCCTTTCTCCAAAAATGGATGCATTTTAATTTCTTAAAAAAGAGTTCTGATGTAGAGAGTAGGACTTCAAATATATAAATTCTGGGGTTTAATTAAAAATCTCCTTAGTTGATATATGAACTTGTGACCTAGAAAATGTCACAAAAGCTCTGGATCCTTGCCTCTAAGATTCCTCCCCACGGCATTCTGGATAGGTACAGCCTTAAGGTGTGGCTCTTTCTCACATGCTGTGCTACTAACAGTTGCTGCAAAAAGGTTTTCCTTTCTAACATGTCGAGATTTTTCCAAACTGAACAGGGAGAAAGTGAGACAGTGGCTGCACCCAAAAAACATTTGATGAATTTAATTAAATTCAAATGAAAGAAAAGTCTATTGAAGCTAACTATTCCCCCAAAAGGGGGGTAAATAAGCCAAGTACTGAGCACAAAGGAGACGCTTCTAAAACCATCTGTTTGCTCATTTAACGTGAAACTTCCGAGACTAACTGTTTACTAAGTTAGGACCTTGCATTATTAGAAGAATTCATTCCAGGATATTTCTTACTAAAGCAGAAGCTAAATCTCAGTGATTGACATTGAACATTCCAGGTTAAAAATGAGTCTGTCAGCATATTTTATTTTATCTAATTTCATGCTCTATTTACAGTAAATCTTATATTCTGTGTCACATAACTGGGAAGTCGAAATGAATAATGATTATCTAAAACACCGGTTTTCATTTTCTTTCGAGAGGAGTATACAGCTTTGTTCATTTATTTGTGAATAATGCACAGATGTGTTATGCAGATGTATGTATATGGCCTTTCCCCCACTTCTGATTTTATATTCACACATAGAGCTTTAGGGGACCGGTTGTAATATGCTATCAAATTCAACTGTAGAATTTCTGAGTTAGCAAGGACCTCAGAAATCATCGAGCCGAATGTTCCTCCGCCTTAATTTACTAGTGAACTACTGTCATACCTGATTGTACTGTCGTGCACGATTTTTGCCACGCCTGCATTCCCTCCTGTATTATATTAATAATAAAAATTGTAGGGGCGCCTGGGTGGCGCAGTCGGTTAAGCGTCCGACTTCAGCCAGGTCACGATCTCGCGGTCCGTGAGTTCGAGCCCCGCGTCGGGCTCTGGGCTGATGGCTCAGAGCCTGGAGCCTGTTTCCGATTCTGTGTCTCCCTCTCTCTCTGACCCTCCCTCGTTCATGCTCTGTCTCTCTCTGTCCCCAAAATAAATAAACGTTGAAAAAAAAAATAAAATAAAAATTGTAAGCAACCAGTTTCTGTAATCTAAAATGTTTATTTTAAACCTAAATGTTTATTTTAAAAAGAAATTTTGAGTCATCACTGTAAATAGAAAATAGAAATCACTTGCCATAGGTAGAAGGTAACAATAAACATGGAACTACATTTACAAGCTCTTTCCAATGGGTCATGTCATTGTTTAGTTATAAAAAGTTCATTGAAGGGGGAAATCATGAAAATCAAGCATCTACATTTTAAATATTTCATTTTAACTTTAAAGCATAAAAATGTCCTTAGTCACCAATCTTTAAACCAATGGATAATTTAGAAGTGTGTTGATAATTTCCAAATATTTGGGGGGGACTTCCTAGATTTATTTTTTTGTTATTGATTTTATTTAATTTCACTGTGATCACAGAACATACCCTGTAATATTCAAAACAGTATACTGACTGCAGAAAAGTCTATGTAGTTCTTCCAT